TGCCTGTACGCGCTGAGTGGCACGCGGGCAGATCGGAGCGAACAGTCTCATCATGATTGTCGTTGATGCTGTTGCGGAGCTCGTATTTCGAAACAGCGATTCTGGTTGATCTCCCCTGCCCGATGCACATTGCGCTCTCCAGTTAAAGCGCTCCTCCAAGGGCTCGCACTCTTTTATGAAGCGGGAAAATCTTCCGTCTCAGATTGTGCCCATGGCCCCCAGTTTACAACAACAGCGGCTCCCGCCTCATACTTCCACAATTGAGTCCTACATCACGCTCTCGCGCGGGACTTCCTCACAATTTACTCAGGAATCGCGCTATCGCGTGGTACGTCCTCGCATTTTATTCAGACGCTGCGCCCTCGACTCTCAGGAACCAAGCCTCCTTCTCACGGTTTGCTCGGGAATCGCGCTATCGCTTGAGATTTTCCTCGCGATTTGTGCAGGACCCACGCATAAGCAACCCGCCTGCTCGACTTGGTCGCCTGGGCCCGCCTTCCCGACCCGCCCATTCGCGCCCACCCGCCCGGTCAGCCCGCCTGGTTCTGCCACGCGTTTTCTTCTCCTGGCCCCCCTCCTGCTCCTCTCTCTCTCTCTCTCTCTCCCTCTCTCTCTCTCTCTCTCCTGCTCCATCCTCCTCCCTCCCCCTTGTCCCTTCCTTCCATCCGTCCTTCTTCCCTTGCCTTGGGGGCTGCACGAAATACACGTCGCAGCCCGCCTGGTTCTGCCGCGCGTTTTCTTCTCCTGCCCCCCCTCCTGCTAATCTCTCTCGTGCTCCATCCTTCTCCCGCCCCCTTCCATCGGTCCTCTCTTCCTTATTTAGGGGCTGCGCTACATTCGCATGGCAGATAAGCAAGATCTACCTCGAAGACGAAGAGGGCGGGTACCGATGGTTTGGGATGTACGTGTTGACTGGCACGCGGGCAGATGAGAGCGAACTTCCTTAACATTATTGGTGTTGTTGCTGTTGTCGTCGTCCCACTCGCAACCAAGCCCGCGACCCACCCGCGCCCCGCCCGCGACCCACCCGCGACCTACCCGCGACCCACCGGTGACCCACCCGCGACCCACCCGCGACCCGCCCGCGGCCCACCCGCGAACCGCCCGCGACCCACCCGCGACTCACCTGCGATCCATCCCGCGACCCACCCCGCGCCCGCCCCCAACTCTTATCTGTAACTGCGGGGTGCTACATCTATCACTCGATGTATATGTACCCCTTTACATGTGCATCTACATAAACGTATACATATGCATATACATGTAGTGTACGTATACATTTGCACATACATATACATATACATATACATAGACATACACATATATCTACATATGTATCTATAGATAGGTCTGCATATGTATGTATGTGAGTTTGAAGCAAAGAGAGAACACCACAAACGAGAGAGGACTGTTTTTGTTGACGCTGGCGCTCCGACGTCCCCTGGTCTGGAAGCAACTTCTGCCGCCCGTACCGGCCGCCGTGCCTGTGTCCACGGCAGGCTCGCCCGAGCAGAGGGGACGGGACGCCCTCTGCGGCGATGGGCTTTCGCCGCGGCAGCGGCGCCGTGCTCCTGCCATCGTCCGCGCGTGCGGGGGCACTGCGGCCCAAGCCGACGGGAGGAGGGCGAGGGTGGAGACAGGCGAGGGTGAGTGCGCGCGTGGAGAAAGGCGCGGGTGGGGGAAGCTATCGGCGTGCGTGGAGGCAGGCGAGGGTGAGCAGGGCAAGCCCGAGCGTGCCCCTCAGGACGACGTGCCCCCAGTTAGGCGTCATGGCGGCCCTTGGGCGTCCCGGGGAGGGCCCTGAGGCTTCCTCTGCAAGGTACGTTTGCTCTATTGGGATACGTGTGGCCTCCCCTGAGTGAGATAGATGAGCGTGAGCACGAGCATGCGCAGAGAGTTCAGTGGACCTGCTCTCGGTAACTGCGCTGTGGCTGGCCTCAAGTTCTGGAGAAGGGTGGGAGGGAAGATGAGGAGGCTGTGGAGGAGGAGGAGGAGGAGGAGGAGGAGGAGGATGAGGAGGAGGAGGAGGAGGCAGGAACGGGAGGGAGGATGAGGGCGAGAGGATGAGGAGGAGGATTTTTCCCCAAACAGCTTGCTGAACGGGGTGCTGTTGTGATAAAAACTAACTCCGGCCGAGGGAAAGGGGAGCAGAGACATCCTCACACAAATCTGATGGTCCGGGCCGTTTCGCTTGAGACATCCTCACAACTCTCGTTTCTGAGTTGGCTGGCATTGGCCGTTTCGCCTGAGACATCCTCGAAAAGTTGCGCTGCGGGACGCCGCGCGAGAGGTGGTCCGGGCCGTTTCGCCTGAGACATCCTCGAAACTCTGGGCTCCGAGATGCCGTGCGAGAGGTGGTCCGGCCCGTTTCGCCTGAGACATCCCCGCAACTCTGGGCTCCGAGATGCCGTTTGCGAGGTGATCCGGCCCGTTTCGCCTGAGATATCCTCGCAACTCTGGGCCCCGAGGTGCAGCGCAAGAGGTGGTCCAGCCTGTTTCGCACAAGACAGTCTCGCAACTCTGAACTCCCAGATGCCGCGCAAGAGGTGGTCCAGCCTCGGGGCCCATAAGACCATATCTTACATATCCCCCCTGGGACCCTGGGAGCCCCAGGAGGCCCCAGAGAGCTTCAGGAGGCCGCAAAAGGCCCAGGACAGGCGCCAGGGGCCCCCAGGACATCCCCAGGAGGCTCCCAGGAGGCCCCAGGAGGCCCCCTATCAGACCGTGCCAAGTTAATACACATCCGGTGCCGATTCGTTGATTTTTCCTGCTCTTGTGCCCCCCCCCCCCCCATTTTGGGGGGGCCCGACGGCCACATGTTAGATATTCCCCCCTGGGAGCCCCAAGAGGCTTCAGGAAGCCCCAGGTGGGGTCCAGGGGTCCAGGAGGCCACAGGAGGGAGCAGGAGGTCCCCAGGAAGCCCAATGAGGCCCCAGGAGGCCCCCGCAACTCGGAGCTCTGAGACGCCGCGCTCGAGGTGGTCCGGCCCGTTCGCCTGAGACTTCCTCGCAGCACGTTTCGTAAGAGACATCGTCGCAACTCTGGGGTCCGAGATGCCGCGCGCGAGGTGGTCCAGCCCGTTACGCTGGAGACATCCTCGCAACTCTGGGCTCCGAGATGCCCTGCGCGAGGTGGTCCGGCCCGTTTCGCCTGAGACATCCTCGCAACTCTGAGCTCTGAGATGCCGTGCGCAAGGTGGTCCGGCCCGTTTCGCATAAGACATTCTCGCAACTCTGACTGAGCTCCCAGATGCCGCGCAAGAGGTGGTCCAGCCTGGGGGCCCAGAAGACCACATGTTACACATCCCCCCTGGGAGCCCCAGGAGGCCCCAGAGAGCTTCAGGCGGCCGCAAAACGCCCAGGACAGGCCCCAGGGGTCCCCAGGAGATTCCCAGGAGGCTCCCAGGAGGCCCCATGAGGCCACCTATCAGCACGTGTCAATCAAGTTAATACACATCCGGTGCCGATTCGTTGAGTTGTCTTGCTCTTGTGGCCCCCCCCCGCATTTTGGGGGGCCCCGACGGCCACATGTTAGACATCCCCCCCTGAGAGCCCCAAGAGGCTTCAGGAAGCTCCAGGTGGGGTCCAGGAGGCCACAGGAGGCCCCCGCAACTCGGAGCTCTGAGACGCCGCGCTCGTGGTGGTCCGGCCCGTTTCGCCTGAGACTTCCTCGCAGCACGTTTCGTACGAGACATCGTCGCAACTCTGGGGTCCGAGATGCCTCGCGCGAGATGATCCAGCCCGTTACGCTGGAGACATCCTCGCAACTCTGGGCTCCGAGATGCCGTTCGGGATGAAGAGGAGGTGGGGGAGGACGAGGACGAGGAGGAGGAGGAGGAGGAGGAGGAGGAGGAGGAGGCATGTTCGAACGTGCCATGCTAGCCCGCACTGGACGGGCGCGCAATCGACCTTGGAAATCACAGTGGGTTTAAAAACCCTGTTTTGGGATACTGCACTCCGGCTATAATTTTAACATCCGCAAAGCTACCTACATCTACATACACCACTGGGGTTGGGTGCGGAGAAGCAGCAGGAGGAGGATGAGGAGGAGCAGCAGGAGGATGGATGAGAAGTCTGAGGGGGAGGAGGCGGAGGGCGTTCAGCAGGAGGAGGGTGAGTAGGAGCATGAGGAGGAGAAGGGGGAGGAAGGATGGATGAGGGGGAAGGGGGGGACGTGGCAGGGGAGGGTGATCGGGAGGAGGGGGTCGTTGCCGCTCTGGGGATGGGTGGGCCCGCGCGCCGCCGCGGGCCGGCAAGGTACGGGCCGGCCCCCCCGCTGGCACACGGAGCTCGAAAAAGACAGCGGCGCTTAAAAAGAACATCCCCTCTGTCCACTCCTCCTCCCCCACTCCTCTCTCCCGCTCTCTTCCCTCTGTTCCTGCCTACCCGCCTCCTCCTTCCCTTCGTCCGTCCATCCTCCTCCTCCCCCTCCTCCCCCTCCTCCGCCCCTGCCTCCTCCGTCCTGCTGCTGCTGCTGCTGCTGCTCCACCTCCTCCTCCTCCTCCTCCTTGCTCCTCCTCTTCCCCTCCTCCATCACGAGCGTGCCTGGCTACGACCATGCTGCAACTCAGAAGAAACCCTCCTCCCCTCCTCCCCTCCTCCCTCATTCCTCTACAATCCCTTCATCCACTTCCCCATCCCTCTCACCGTTCCCTGGCCATGACTCCACTAGCAAGAACTTAGGCCGACGGCCCTGCGAATCCCCCCCCACGCTTTGGGGGTCCCACAACCGTGTGATGACAGACCGCGCGGCCCCCACAATCCTCACCGCACGGTCTGTCACCGCACGGTCTTGGGACCTTGGAGGCCCCCGCCGCCCGAGTCGCCCTCGGAGACCGACCCGAGTCCCCAAACCGCGCGGTGGCCCCGACTGACGCGGACGTGTTGCAATTCGCAAGGCGGGCCCGGAGGTGGCTGGCTTCACAAACACGCATTCATGAGTACCCATGGCAGTGCCACTGGCCATCTGCGTGGCGGCCAGGAAGGCCCCGACAGTGTCGCCCGAAATCCGAGCGCAGGGCCCCGAAGGCCGCCTCGGGGACGTGCCAACACTGGGCAGTTAAGGCCGTGTAACCTCGGGGGCGTCCAAGAGGGGCGCGTCCACGAGGGGGGGTCGCAAATCATGGGGGGGGGGGGCAGGGGACGTGTTAAAATAAGGTGAATCAACATTCGAATGGTACTACCAGTAACATCTATACATATTCGCAGAACGAGAAGAGGGTCAACAAGAATCCGCCGATCCGGCGTGTGAGTTTCAAAAAGCATGGGCTTGAACTTCGCTTGAGCTCCGCTCTGCAAGGGTGAGACTCGTTCAGCGTTTTCGCCCCCGCCTCCCCGACTGCAGGAAGGGGGAGGGGGCGTTCAGCGTTTTCGCCCGCTCCCGCCCCATCCCCGGTCCCGGCCCTCTGACTCAGTCCCAATCCCGTCCCTGGTCCTATACGCAAGCCCCGATCCAGGCTCCGGGCCCTGGCTCCGCCAGCCCGGGCCGGCCCGCCCCAGGTCTCGGTCCTGGCCCATGCCCGGGCTCGCCCTGCTCCCAAGCCCCAGTCCCGGTCCGAGCCCCAACCTTGGCCCTGGCTCCCGGTCTGGCCCGGGTCCCGACTCTGGCCCCGACCCCGGCCCTGGCCCCAATCCCGGCCCGGGGCCGGAGCCCCGGCGCCCGGTCCGGGTCCCAGTCCCGGCCCTGGCTCCGGCCCTCATCCTGGCTCTGGGCTGGGTTCCGGCCCTGGCCGCCGATCCCGGCCCCATGGCAGTCCCGGTCCCGGCCCGGGCTCTGGCCCCGGCCCCGCTCCCAAGCCAATCCCTGCAGGCGGGCAGGTCCGGCCCCCAGCCCCAACCTTGGCCCCGGCTCCTGGTCTGGCCCCGGTGTTGGCTCCGGCCTTGGCCCTGGCGCCTGGCCCCGGGCTGGGCTCCGGCCCTGGCCACTGGTCCCGCTCGTGGTCATGGCCACGATCACCGGCCCCGGATCGGGCCCCGGCCCCCGCTCGGCCAGCCCCGGCCCCGGGCCTGGCTCCCGGAGTCCCCCTCGGCGCCCCGACCCTGGCTCCGACTCTTGCGTCCCGTCCTCCTCCTCGTCCTCCTCGTTCTCCTCCGTCCTCCCCGCCCTCCCCATCCTCGCCTTTCCTCCTCACTCCTCCCTCCCCCCTCCGCCTCCTCCCGCCCCCCTCCTCCCGTGAGTCGTTCATCGTCCATTATCGGCGTCGAAGTCGTCATCGTCGTCGTCGTCGTCGCCGTCGTGCCAACCACCAACGTCCGGAGCGCCCCGGATCGGCGGCACTGGCCGGAGGCCTTTTAAAACATGGTAACCGTGCTACCAACATCATCACTCATATCAGCTTGTGAATAACAACTGGCCAGGCCGCCCCCGCCCGGGGCTGATGAAAAGACCCCGCGGGGCGCGATCTTCTTTTTATCACGCGCGCCAGGGGGGAGGAGGGGAGAGGGGGGGGAGGGGGGGAGAGAAGGCGGAGGACGAGGAAGATGAGGAGGACAAGGAGGAGGAGGAGAAGGAGGAGGAGGAGGAGGAGGAGGTGGAGGAGAACGAGGACGAGGACGAGGATGAGGAGGCCCGAGCAACGAAGAGAGCGGCCGTTGGAAACGGGCGCAGGCAGGGCGGGGGGCGGCGGCGACGACGGCAACAAAGGGGGGGAGGAGGACTACCCGCCTTGCTCAGGTCGGACGAAAATGTGGGGAAGGAACAGGGGGGTTGCGAAGCCTGTTGCGCGCAGCTGGTTCCGGTCGCCCCGCCGAAGGGCCAGTCCTCGACGCATGGCCGCTTTCGGCGCCAGGAGGTGCTTGGAAAATCGGCGACGTGAGCTGCTTTGCAAATCCCCCCTTTGCCGCGCCCCACTTTCGTCTGGCCCGCCCTGCCCGCAGGCCCGCGTCGGTTCGACAGAAGAACGGGCGCCTTGTCTCGCCATTGCCTCCCGACGGACCCCCCCTTGCCTCACGTTGGCGGCCGGGCGTCGGCGCTAATCGCCGGCGCCACCCCGTTGATTTTCAATCTGGTGGGCGCCACCCCGCGATTCGCCCGAGCAGGGGAATCATTATTTCTAAACGGGTGCCCCACGGATTTGTTAATCACAAGCTGGCGTTCCTACTACTACTACTACTACTACCACCACCACTACTACTACTACTACTACTACTACTACTACTACTACTACTACTACTACTACTACTACTACTACTACTACTACTACTACTACTACTACTACTACTACTACTACTACTACTACTACTACTACTACTACTACTACTACTACTACTACTACTACTACTACTACTACTACTACTACTACTACTACTACTACTACTACTACTACTACTACTACTACTACTACTACTACTACTACTACTACTACTACTACTACTACTACTACTACTACTACTACTACTACTACTACTACTACTACTACTACTACTACTACTACTACTACTACTACTACTACTACTACTACTACTACTACTACTACTACTACTACTACTACTACTACTACTACTACTACTACTACTACTACTACTACTACTAACTACTACTACTACTACTACTACTACTAACTACTACTACTACTACTACTACTACTACTACTACTA